CTTCTATTGGTGTGTGCAGTCTGTTTCAAAAAGTCCAGTAGATTTGTTTGGCAAGGTATTAGTGAAGAAAATCCTACTGATTTTTGTCAATATTGCATTTACATGGTAGCTGTAAATTAATTTTGTAGGGTTCTGTCCCTATCTCATCCCTCCCCAATTTCTATCAAATTTTTCTGATGTTTTCCTTACATTTTTATGCATCCTTTTAAAAGCTGATGGTGTAGCTGTCATTTTCTGGTCCTATAGTACAAGACATAGTTTGTGATTGATTTTAACACAATGTACAGATTTTATTCCTTTGAAGGTTCCTACAATAAAATCTTACCTTACATGAATGACTAATTACCTGAATATTTGTTTTGTCCAGACATTCTCCTACTTTAATTTGTACGTGCTTTGCAAGAGTATTTGATTAATATACATATTTTGGACATCATAAGTTAACTCATGTTAAAAACACTCAAATAGAGAAAAAATTCTAATTGCTTCATATCAGTTTAAATTTAATATTGAAATAGCTGTAGATGTTATTTCTTATATGTATTAATTTGAGAGTAAAATTATAATTCCTGAATTGGAAAAAACATTTGTTTATAAATCATGAGGTGCATAGCTTTCCCCAAGCTATATAAATATTTGCCTTTTTAATAAAGATTATGAGGTTTTGGGGACTTTTTTTTATGGAATGGCAAATTAAAATGGTCTGATAAGTTTTGTCAAAGCTTTCCTGCTTTTCTCACTGGGACAGTATTTTTCTAGTCAGATATTGCTGGGAGTCTTGACATACCATTGTTTTTCTATGGTTAAAATTCTTGGTATTTTCCCCTTTTCTGCTTTACAGAAAATAAATCAAAACATATGCAAGTTCTATGAGATGCTGGTTTAGAGATGAATTTGTTGATAAGAACATAGAATTAGTCACAGATGAGTGTAAGCTTCTTTCTTTTAGGTTCATCTTATTAGTAACTATTTTGAAAACACAGTCTGAAAGAGATTTCATAGCAAACACATTAAACACTGTTAAAAAAAGGCTGAGAAACAAAAAAAAATTAGTGTTGTTCCCCAAGGAAAAGTTCCTTTGCATGCATTTATAAAATTTGATGGATTTATTGGGCATGCTACACTGCAACTTTATTGTAAGTAATACTTGTCCCAAATGGCAAATTATATTCTCACTGCCAATGTTGTTCTCTGTAGATGTTTATGTAACTTTCACTATTGTGATGATTTTGCTAAAATTGTCTTTCAGTTTAAAAGAAGATTCCAATGCTTTTCTGCTTCTATAGGAAAAACTGGCAAGCTGTCCTTACTATCTTACAGTCACTGGAAGACACTTGACCCATCCTGACCTCTTGCTTTCATATTAGTTTCTCCATCTGAGACTTGCTACCAAAATGAAAGGAAACAAAAAAGATTTTGTTGAGTCTGGGCATTTATATGATGTTTATTCTTTTGGAGGGGGGTGGGAGGTTTGGGTAATGATTTTGCTCATCAAAATCCTAAGTAAGATACATTATAGAAACAAAAGTTTGATTTTTTAAAAAAATATTTTCTTTTAGTTCAGGGGAGGTTGGATTAGGATTTCACTCATCAAAATTGTGGGAAAACATAGAAACAAAACTAGGGAACAAGTCAGCATAATTTTTTTCCCTGGTTTTTTTTTTTTTGGGCTAGGCTTTGACTTGATGGTACTTAGAAACCTTTGCAATAAGAATGCTGTAGGTAACTGTAACTTGTGCCCTACAAATAGGGTAGCAAAGTAGCTTAGAGAGTAAATCAAAACAATGGAATGGAAATAGGCTTTTGGATGCAATTTTCCACTACCTTTGTGTTTAGTGGATTGCACAGTTGTGTGTTTAAGTGTGTGAGAGTCCTGTGATAGTTGGAACAGCAGAATGGAACATAATATGTGAAAAAAAGAACATCTGATTTAGGAAATGATGATTGTGGAAGGCACCTCTAGTTACCACATTAGCAGAATGTGAAATTCAGTTTACACCTAGATAAAGGAGATCACTTTAAGAAGGATGTGCTACTAAACCTTATTAAGCCCACAGTATTTCACAATGACTTCTGGAGTTTGAGGCTGGTTGGGAATCTCTTTCCCTCTTTTAGCTGAAATCTGAGCCTTCAGTATTTTCACAGAGAACTCTTTCACCATATTAGTAAATGGTAACCACTACCAGAGCAGCCTGACTGCATATTTTCTTTGATGAATTGATCATGAGGCAAGGTGCAGTGTTGTTTGTGACCCTCCCATACTGCTGGTGGTAATTCTTCTTTTCACTTTGCACATGCAAGACTTGCATTTTGGGCACAAAGTGGATCTTCCCAAGTCATTTTGTTTAAGTTAGTCATCACCTAATGCTAGAACAAGTGGGAAGGCATCATTGTTGGGGTTTTTTTTCATTTAGAACACCATCACAGTGTTACTATGTGGGGAAAAGGAATCTGCTTTCTTTCAAATCTGCTGTCATTTGATTCTTTTCTCAGCTGCTTACGAAGCTGCCAACTAAAGTACTACTTACCATGAATACATTAGAGAAAAGTAAATTGGCACTTTCTGTAGAATGCAGCAATTTGCATTCCCCTCTCTTACTGAGAGCAATCTGTATTACATTCTTCAGAGTTTCAATATTTTTCTCCCCCTAAGAGATATCATCTTGTATTTCCTGGCACTTCAACCAGAAACTTGTCCATTAAGATAAATTTTCTTAATACTGATTTAACTTTCACTAATGTATTTGCTCTTGTAATCAGCCTCATAATTACATTCTCATCTGGCTTGAAATTATTGCTTTTAAGTCTTTAGCTTCAGCAACTGAGGATGGAGTCAGTTCAGCCCCAGTGTATAACTTCCAACCAAAGCACTGCAGCAATATTTGCTTTCCTTTATGACATAATATCTTCTTTGGCATCTTGACCAGCTTCTTTCAGCTTACTTCTCTAACTCCAGTCCCTGTAATATTTCTTTTTGGGTCATCCTCAAGTCATGGAAAGAAAACAACACTCATTTGTGTAAAGCCTGTACCCTGTGGAAATTTTGCCAACCCCCCCCCCCCTAAGATGGTAATTAACAGAATCAAGTGAAAAGTGTGGTGTTCAGTGATTTAGAGGTTTGTTCTGCTGACAGTGTTGTGTCTCTGAAGTAGCCTGAGGGATATGAAAATGCATCCTCATAGTCTGAAAAAATTTGTCTTGTGCCCGAAGTCAGCTGGAGAACAACTTGGAGCTTTTGCAAAAACAAATTGTTCAGTGGGTGAGCTGCATGCAAGTGCTGCTGGTTATTTGCTTCCTCACTGTGCAACGGATCCACAATGAAAGGGAACTTTGCAAAATCTGCATTTAACTTCTGAAATTCCTTTGTGTGTGATGTTGGAACATTATGTTAGGTCTGAGAAAGACAAAGATGAAAAAGCCCCTGACTTCTGTAATATTCATGAAATATATATTCTGACATATGGCTTCTTGGGCTTTGTTGCTGTTTACTTAAGAATATCCTTATCTTGAGGTGGCTGCCATTGCTAATGACAAGATACTGAACTAGATGATCATTTAGTCTAATTCATTTGATGCTAACCATTCTCAGGTTTGTGTTAATTTTTCACTAAATGAGTTATACAGTTTAATTTTATGCCTCTCTCTTGTTTTAGAGAGGGAGTTGAGAGAGAGGAAAATATAAGTAGTTTTATACATATGTGTGAGATTTTAAAGAGAAAATTTGTGAGAAAACTCTGGGTGAAAAATTCGGTATCCCCCCCTTTTCAGCTCAATTCTGAAAAACCTTCTTGTGTTCATATGGAATAGTTTCTCTTTGCTGATAAGAAAAAAATCCAAGATGTATTTCAAAATAATAGGTGGAAAAACACCAATTGATTGAAAAATGTAAGTCGTAAGATGGAGAAATTGGTTCATTTCTTAGTGTTTCTAGTTAGTGTGTTAAGACTACATCAGTGTGCAGTGAAATATTCCAGCATAAGATTTTTGCACATCCTTCTATTGAAGGGAGATAAAATGTGATGTTGTTCCCTCTGTCTGTTCCAACATGATGCATTAACAGTGTGTCAACACAGCAGTAAAGGCTTTTACTATGTATAATTGTGAAATAATGCCAATAGGTAAATGGGAAAAGGATGTTTGGGGAGCAATTTCTAGATCTTGCTTTCTGCAAAATAAACACCACTTTAGAAAAAAAAGGGCTTTGGGTTTTGGATGACAGTAAAAGTGGTGCAGAATGCCAGAACACCAAAGCAACTGCACCGGAGCAGAGCAGTAATCCACCTAACACTATTGCTTTCCTTTGATGGTGATTAGAACCACATGCTCCAAAGGAAAATGCTTATAATGGGCAATTAAAGGATCTGCACATAGCAGGCTTTTTTTCCCCCCCTCTGCCCTCCCTCCCCCAGTTGTCATAAATTACTGGTTGGCCTTTACTCTGACGTGCAAGTCTGACAAAACCTAGAAGGAACAGGAAATGATCTAAGTGTGGTTTTAGACAGTTTTTTTTTCATTACCTACATAATAAGAAAAAAAAGCCCCTCAACTTTCTACCTTTTAGAACCTTTTTGAAACATTAAAAGATCTTAAAAAAATATATCTAAAAAAGAAGATCAGATCAAATAAAACAGGCAATAAGAACTGAGAACTTTCTATAGCAGACAAAGTAGATGCTGTCCTGCTGATACTCCTAGGTACAAAAGCAGAAGTAGCATGTCTTTTTAAAAACAACCAAATGAAACAAACATGTAAAAAAGGAAACAAAACCCCAGCCAAACAACAACAAAAAAATCTGCTTGCAGGGAGTAGTATTAGCTGTAAGAATGAGCTTGCTGAAGGCTTCTTTGAAACTTTAGCATACACTGGAGCATTTTTGCTCTGTTTTTGTATCTGTACTGAGGGCAAAGTCACTGAAAATAGTAACTAAGCTTGTGAAAACTCTAAAGAGACTTATTAAAGCTTACTTAGGTGCAGCTCTTGTCAAAGATTTGTGTTTGCAGGGGAGATTAGGATACTTGGAGTCTGCTGGAAACATTGTGCTGGCGAGACACCTGCGTGATCCAGTGCTGTTCTTACGTGTCCAGCCAAATATATTGCAGGTACTACTTAGTGTACAGAAGAGTGTTAATTAAAGCAATTAAGAAGAAGTGAATCCCTTTTCATTGAAGGAAGATTTTAGGGCTCTTAAAAAAGCAAAAGTAATGTCTTTCATAAAAGAGTGCAGCAGAGTCAACAACTGAGTCGTTGGACAGGGGATGTGACTGTTTCCGTCAGGATATGTGTCCAAACCTCAGAACCATGAAAGCACACACAGCTTCTGTTCAAAGATTGTGGCTATCTGCAGACTTCACAACCCATTGGCCATTTTACACCCTTGGATAAATAAATTGTGTATAGAGTCAGGAAGTGATAAGTATTAGGGTTCCAAAAATACCGTAGTTTTTTTTCCCCTCTTCCGTTTATTTTCATGGGAAGGTTTAGGGAGTGGAGAAATACCATGATGATTCTAAATGCTCAGGGTATGGTACTGAGGGCTGCATTTTGTCTTGATCACAGCAGTCTACACAAGTGGCTGCTGTTTTGGCCTGCAAGATTTCACAACAGAACGTTGTCTTTGTTATCTAAATAATGCTGCCTCTACTTTGAGACTCATTCTTTGGTTGCATCACCTTTAGTTCATACTGTATAAAATTTAACTACTTATTAACATACTTTTTTTCAACATCTACCTTTTCTACAGAGAGGGAAAAGACCTCTAATAATAAATAAGACCCCTAAGGCTTCAAGATTGTAAAATGCTCTGGGGTTTTGTTTTTTTTTTTTTTTTTTGCGTTATTAAATTACATGGATAAGAAACGGTAATTAATTGTAAGCTGCTACAAAAGACTAATCTGGAAATAAAAGCGATGGATCAATCTTGTTTGAAAGGCAGTCATGAAAAGAAATGGGTATGTAACACAACCTTTTTCATATTTTACAATAAATTTATTTCTTAACTACTTGTAGAATTTGGCTTCTGAATGAGGTGATTTTTCGCAGAGTTGATTTCTGAATCAAGTTGCTGTGGTGTTGGTTTCATTGTTTAGTTAATTCTATGCTTGGTTGCTATGGAAATACTTATTTACGGAGCTAATGCCTAATGGTGTCAAACAGATGCTACTGGCAACTAGGAATCCTTTATATTTGATCAATGAAAGACTCAGTCAGAAGTAGAAACTCAATTTTGTGCTTGTTTTTCTCCGTTAAAATTTTGGAGCATGGAATGGAACGGATGTTTTCAAATAGGACAAGTTTTCTCGTTGTTGTAAGCATTAAAGCACACATTGAATCTCCTAAAAAGAATCATCAGGGAAACAAAATCCTATTTTAGCTTTAGGGAATCATATAGCAATGATAACAAATTTTAACATTGTGTGTGGCCTTCAGCAGTGTGCACGTTTCAGCTTGGGAAAAGGAGAATAGTGTTGGTTTTATTCAGCTTCTTAAAATGATTTTTGATTTCTAAAGCTAATTTTTTTTGGTAGCCGTGTATTTTAAATCTTTGGATAAGCATTAATATTGTTCTTACTATAACTTGTCACAAACAAATAATTCTAGGGTAACTAAGCTGATATGTTTTTGTATTTTATAAGTTAAATTATTAAGAAAACATCATTGCAAAGTTGTCTAGTCAAATACATTTTAAGATTAAATTTTTTTAAAGAGGTTTAAAATGCTTAGTGTACTTCTATAGTAATTTCAGTTGCTTATAGCTTGACAAAAATAAAATCCATACTCTTTTACCATGCTTAAGCCTTTGAAACTTGAAAATGCTCCTCAAGCAGATCTTTAGACAAATGGAATTGTGTTATTTGTATAAAGAAGATCTCAAAAGCCCTCACCCTGCATGGCATCAACTCTTCTGAAAGGCACATCTATTCCTGGCCCTGGAACCACTGGGTGCACTGCCACAGGAAAGATAACCTTTCCTATGGAACAGGAATTAAAAACCAAACAAACCCCCTGAAGCCCTGCTGGTTTGCCTTGATTGTCTTCTCCCATTTCTCATCTGTTTTTAGTTTGCTTAGACTATAAACTTCTCAGAGGAGCACTTACTGCCTTTATTTTGTGAAAAGCAGCATTGCCTTGCTGCTGCTGTTGGAGCTCGAAGCTGGCTTAGGGAAGGCCTCTCTTATTACCATTACCTTGGTTTTTTTTAACATGCTTCTGATGTTGCTAATGATGTGTGCTTTGCCAAAGTGCTGTCCTTAAGCTTTGGTGATGGTTAGGTTGATATCCTTGTGTTCAACTAGCATAGTATCTCTTCTGAAGTACATGGAAATATTGTTTTTATGGTTTGAGAAAACATAGGCCTGATGCTTACTGTCTTTTTTTTTTTTTTACTGCATATATCCACTAAGTGACAGGTATTTAAAATCTCCCCGGATCTGACTGAACACCCATGGTACAGAATACAGTGTTCATTGTTCAAAACAGCAACTTTGGAGAGAATTTGTTGAGCTTTAACAACTTTTTTTTAACCTTTAAAAACTTATTTTCAGAGATGCAAATTCATTCTCTTGAGGCTCTTAGGCTGTTTTGAGTGACAAGTTTCAGTTTGACCTATGCTGGCTGATGATGGCCAAATAGGGAAAAGTCACTTGTACTTAAAGGGGTTCTCTAAGCTGGCTTGTCTTCTTTTAACCACATTGAAATTTATTTCACAGACTAAATAGATTCAATTATTATAGTTAAAAGTAATATAGACCCTGACTGTTAGAGAACAAGGTGTGGTGTATGTCTGGGTTTTTGTTTTGGTTATTTTTTTCTATGTGAAGCTATTTTCTGTTGAAGCTGTCCTTCAAACCCCTGAGCAGCTTGTCAGGCAATTATACAAAAGCAGGAAAGAGTGTTCATGGCTCTCTGGATGAACTGGGAAGACCCTGGGGTTGGAATGAGAACTTCTCTTCCAATCTGACTGGTAATGTCCTATACATGTTTCTGGTGGCAATGGCTGTAGATTTGCCACCTTTCAGAAGTTCATTTGCAGTATCAGAGCAGAAAACCCACTGAATTTGGGTTTTCAGAGGGGCTCCGATGCGTGTGATTGCTGTGATGCTGCCACTGACCATGGACGCTCAAAGCCAAAGTGTGTGAGTTACTAAGCAGAGGTCTCAGTTGCAGCTTGGAACTTTTATGACTCAAGTCCATCCTAGATAAGGTGTTTCTTGATGGAGGAGGTGAGGGAAGAACGTTATGTGCAATGGATTACAAAATCTTAGTATTACAGAGTACAGATCTTTTTGCAACAAGTCTCATGGTTGCAAAATCAGAAATTGCTGAGGCTCTGCCTAAGACCTATTTTAAGGTCTCTTGGTCTGTTCACAGTAGGTCAAGATAAAGGGTGTCTTTTCACTCCTGTTGTAAGATTAGTGTGAATCTGGGAGTACTTTGTAGCTTTTGTTGATGCACAGTAGTGAAACAAAACTCAGACTACTAAGCTCTCAAGAAAAAATAATGCCAGAAATACTGCTTGTTCAGTATTCCAGATTTAACTTGCAATGCAAGGAGTTAGGCTACTTAAACGAAGTCTGATAGGTAGTGAGAGAAAGAATAGCATTTTCTTAGTGCAAAGGAGAAAATTCTTCTTTAAATGGAGAAATAGAATTTAGCAGCTGTTAACCTTTAAAATTGTCACCCTCCTTGTCTTTCAAGCCCTGGCAATTCTGCAGAAGGTGTGTTAAGGAATATCATGCTGCTTTCTGCTGCTTTCTCCAGAAATTGTTTTTGTGGGGGAGGCTTTCTGGATTTTGAGTGCCATCTTGTGGTGCGTTCCAAGCGCCTAAGGAAAGGTAACCCCCCTTTCACTACTGCCAACCCGCGAGGATTTGCTTAGTGCAGAGATGTACCCGGTCGGATCTGTTGGAAAAATATTCATTGTTTATGGAGATCTGCGTTTTTTTTCCAGTCGTGCTTAGCAGCAGAGATTGCTACTTTGTACCTCAACTTCTCATCAGTTTATTTTCATTCCTTTGATGTGTAGCATGTGGAATGACCCCTGAAAATGTGACAGGCTGTGGTAGCTGCTGGCTGTGTTAATATACTGCCTCGTCTTCTCTCAGGAGATATGGCTTCTTGTTAATGGTGATATATAATGAATTAAAGAAAAATCTGATAGAAAAAGTACATGTAAACTGAAGTTGTATTAATTTCAAAACTGTTTTAGTTTCTTTGCTGTAAAATTGGTATCAGTGAAGAAGCTTTAATCTTCCGGTTTAAATGACAACAGAAAATTTTCAGTGATGAATCCAAGCTGTGAAATTTTTAATTTAAATAAAACTGCATAAAATGATGCCCCACAACTTAAAATATCAAACAATTATTTGCATTGAAAGTAGATTGGAAGATTTTTTGGCCTTGTGTTTACTGGGTGAGCATGGGTCATTAGAACCTATTTATTTACTATAGCAGGGCTTAAACCAAAAGGAAGGTTTTGAACCTTTTTAGTCACAAAGATTGACCCCCAAAATCATGGCTTATGTGAACATGTGTATGAGTACATGTTGTTTAAAGGATGAATAAAGGAGTTGCAGTAAATTATTTGGTTCAGAAACATTCTGGAGTAAGCCAGACCTTTATTGGTTTGGTATTTTATTTGTTAGTTAAGGTTTTTTTTTATTATTATTGTGAGCTCATTTGTAGCAAACAAATAAAATCAGCCAACATACCACATATTCAAAAGAAAAATAAAATCCTCTGAGAGGAAAACCTCTTTTGTGTCCCCTAATGGAGGCAGCAGGATTACGAGCGAGCTGACGCAACTCTGTGGCCCATTAGTATCAAAGGTTACTAATACAACTAACAAAACCCATGTGGACAGCTGATCTCTGCTGCTGATTGAGGCAAAAGTTAATGAAGCAGATTAATGCAGTCTCTGTGTGCGGGGACAGAATGAAACCAAAAGATTTACTGATGTTCAATACAGTAAGGAAACATCAGTCTAGAAAGAGATGCTTCACAATGGAGAAAATTTAATAAAACAGCTCAAACAAACAAACAAATGAAAAGAAACAACCCCGTCTGGCAAGATGTTGCTAAAACCAAATACATCATGGCAAAATGGGTATGGCCACAGAATGCTGGTCATTATCTTACTGTTTGTCAGTGACAAACAGTTAAAAAAAAGAAAAAGACATGGTAGCTAGATTACTCACATAAAAAATCCCCCAAAGCTCTCAAATACCTAAATTCCTAATTCTTGATTTTGATCTGCTTGCTTTACCCAGTATTACCCAGTATGATTTTCTGATAGAGCACAACTTACTCCCAGTTCAAGCACATGCTTCATGGCAGGTCTCTTCAGTTTTCCTAGCAAGCAGGTGGATGTTATAACTATTAACTTTAAACAGTTTAGTGGCATCTCTGTGAAGACAGCTGAAGAGAAAAAGAGCCTTTAAGTGCCTCCCTTGCCTGGGCACTGCTGACATGTCCCCACCTGTGTACTTTCTGCACCTTCCTCTGGACAAGCACCACACTGGAACATTGTGTTTTCTCCATGGAAGTGCTGTGAGTCCCAGAAGAGCAAAAACATACCTAGTTCTCACCTGTAAAAATAAGCAGAAGAGCTTCCAGGATTGCAAAATGTTAATTAGCAAGTGGGGTACTGGCATGTTCTTTGTGCTCTGTAGCAATGTAAAAGAGTGAAAAGCTATGTTTAATTTGTGAATACGCATTTTGCAAATGGATTGATTTATCAAAGAATAATTAGAATCTGTCGAGAAGTCATGAAGACTGAAAGCTTTTGAAACAGAACAGACATCTGAATTTCATTTCTTGTATGTTGTTTTCATTTTTTGTCAGTATAAAAGACAAATTAAGTGAGTGCTGTTGACGTACTTGAAGCTGATAGCATCTTCAGATTGTGTTGCTGACGTTCTTTTGTGGGTTTGGTGGGTTTAGTTAGGTTATTCAGAACATGGGGCTTTGTAGCCGTGTTCAAGCAAAGCCTAACAAAACCTCCTGCAAGAAAATCTTTTAAAAATACCAATTTTTAACCTCTTTGGAGAGATTTTTGCCCACTTTAAAAGTACATGATTTAATGTAATGCTTTCTTCGCTGTATTTACAAAAAATGCTTCTGTTTGAATGATTCTGAAAGAAAAAATATTTTGGAGGTTTTAGGCTAGATTTGCTTTTTTATGTTGAAGTGAATAGGAGCAGGAAAGCAGCATCACCATCAAATTTAATGTGTATGTTGAATGATTTATGAGCAATCCAAAAATATTGAAATAAGGGCAGATTATTCTGTCATCACGATATCTCTGTTGCATGCAATTTCTTTAAACTCTTCATTAGGACTCTTGCTGGGTAGCATTAACTGAGAATATGGCCCAAATTACATATGAAAAAACAAAGGGAGAGACATTTCCCTTTGCATCACATAATCAAAATGTATGCCATTGCTGTTTTACAACATTAACACATCACCTTTTATTAATTACCTTTACCCATTAATTACCATTTACACATTACCTTTTTATTAATCTTTTCTTTTCTCCTTTTTTTATTATCTTTACAGATGATACTTTGGGATTGGGATTTGAAGCAATGGTACAAGCCCTATTACCAGGTCAGTATATTATGAGTATATTATGAATTTAATTGTCTTTTTTTTTTTTTTTTTGGTGAAATGTGATTAAGTACAGATTTCAAAACTGTTGAGACTGTCAAACTTCAGTTCTTCTGTTGATGCTGTATTTGCCTATTTTTCCCTCTGTCTCCTAAGATTGTAGTAAGCTCTTGTTGTTCCTGTTCAGAGAATTATGCAAAATTAAAATGAATCACTTTTGTTTGGATAAATTTTTTATAACTTCTTTCAGTAGAATCAGGGTTAATAAAAATTATGAAGTTGTGGAAATTGTACCTCTGTAAGGGGCTCTAACAGTTTGACTGCCAAAATTTGTTGATATTGTTGGAAGAGAAGGAATAATAAGTTTAATTCTGAGACAAAGTAATGAAAGTAGAGATTTAAAAATTGCCAACAGATTTCCAATAGAGAAAAGGAAGCTGAAAGCTAATGTTGAATTGTGAATTACTTTTTATTGTGTGACAAAAACCTGCAGACACTGCTGTCTGAATGTCTATATATATTTTCTTTAAAAGAAATTGTGTTGCATTGATTTTTTAAAAATTTATTTTTGCTAAATTTGCAATGCACAAGATACTTTAAACAAAGAGCACCATGAAGTGTTTTGGCATGTTAACAGTTTGCAGCATTTCCATCTATTGCAGAGTGCTGGCAGTGGCAGTGGAGTCGATCTCTCAGTGCTGAACGAGGCTCGGAACCTGCTCACGGAGCTCCTGAGCGACCCGTGCCTCCCCCCACACGTGGTCTCCTCCCTTCGAAGCATTAACAGCCTCATTGGTGCTTTCTCAGGAGCATGCAGGCCAAAGGCCAGCCCATTCACTCCCTTTCCTGGTTTCTTCCCCTGCCCTGAAATCGAGGATCCTGCTGAAAAAGATCGGAAGCTGCTCAAGGTCGAACATCTTTTATTTGCGTTCGCGTGTGTGTCGCAATTAAAAAAATTAGATGAAAGAAAATTCATCTAGATGGAATGCTCCTTTATGCATAGCAGGTTCTCTAGTGAGTACCTGTGGACAATGTTTAAGGTCAAAAGGGAGCAGCTGTGAAAACACATTGAATGAAGTGGATATAAGTACTAAAATGCAAATTCAAGTGGTTGATGGGTAGACAGTACAAGCACTGGTCTGCACCCTGACCACAACATTCTTCAAAATAGCAGCAAATATAAACTGAAGGTGTTATAGTCTCATGATATGGGACAAACAGGGCTGTTCTTGATTCTTCTGCATTCTTTATCCAACCATTACTGTCAGTGTGGTTTTTTCATTGACCTTTTTTCCCCAAGAAATTTGCTCTTGTGGACAGCAAACCAGCCATCACACAGAACCAAATCAGCAATGTAAAAGTATCCCTTCTTTTTCTTCAGCAAATCACTTTGAGACCACTGTAAAATCTACTGTCACTTCTCCATTACCCTAGGTTAATAAACGAAAGCAAAAGTGTAGTTACTATATGAAATGCTAAAGAATGTGGTGGGGAAAAAAATTTATGATATAGAAACACAACTGCAGGGTGCCAGAGCTAATATTTCTAGCCCAGCATTGATGGCTTGAGGCTATTTGTTGTGGAGGCTGCTCTGGGACATGCTCTGTAGTTGTTTACATTTCCAGGAAGTGGGCAACTTGGCCCAAACTGATCATCTGGTTGGTTTAGTATTTTGGAGCCTGATTCAGCGTGTGAAATATCTGTTGGGAACCATTTTTTTGGGGGGAAAAACTCAGTGTCTGCAGGTTACTCTGTGGAAGATCCTGCAGAACCACTTCAGTATGAAATTCCTTGTAATGTCACAATGGATACCTGCAGAAATCAGTTGGGCAGTGATTACAGTCATTTGGCATGGCTTTCTTTGTGGATGTCTTTGAAAGCTGCTAAGGATTGGCATTCTTTTTGATTTTTAAAATTTCTTTGTCGCTAGTCAAAACAGTGTGAAATGAGAAATATTCATTGCTGGAGACCAATTATAAAGAGTATGTGAGATTTAAATATGGTTTTTTGCAGCTGCTTTCTTTTTTTCCTTCCTAAAAAGTAACTTTTTCCTCAAGTTCTGGAGATTTTCTGTATAGAAATTTGCCTAGTGCTTGCCACAATCATTCAATAATTCTTTGGCTTTGGTATGCTTAAGAGTAAGCCCAAATATTGGACTATGTATGTTACTGCAAGAGAAAGATAGATACCTTTTGCTTTTAAAAACAGATATATGAGGAAAAGTTCCAGGTTAAAACACAGCAAAGAAAATATTATGAAAGTATTTCTTCAAAATGGATGATTTTGAAAGGTTCCCATTCTCTCTTTTTCCCTGACTTAGAATATAAAAGGTCTCTCCATATTTTTTTGTTGTGGATTGTGTACGTCTTTGGAAGCCAGTCAGGGAAGAGACAAAGTAGGGGGTCATCAAGTTGATTAGAGGGTTGAAGCACCTCTCCTCCAAGGAATGTTTGAGAGAACTGTGGTTGTTAGCCTGGAGCAGAGAAAGCTTTTGGGTGACCTAACTGTGGTCTTCCAGTACCGGAAGGGAGTCTGTAGGAAAGGGGGAGAGGGATTATTTCCACAAGCTGTAGTGACAGGACAGGGAGAATGGCTTCAAACTGAAAGAGGGCAGGGTTGGATGGGGTATTAGGCCAGGTTGGATGGGGCTGTGAGCAGTCTGGTCTGGGAAAGGTGTCCCTGTCCATGGCATGGTGGGTTGGAACTTCAGGATCTTTAAGGTCCCTTCCAACACAGTCTATTCCATGATTCAGTGGTGAGCTGCCTGTCCTCCTCTATAGGAAAGGAATTAAAAACAGGGAAAAGAATGTAAATGGGCTTCTGACCTTGGGCTAGTCATAACTGCTTATCTAATGCTGACCCATCCCTGTGGGTTTCTTGGAAGTGTTAACTGCCCACTATTCAGAAAATAAAAAAAAAAAAAATATGGGACAAAAAACATTGCAAGGCTACTCTGCAATGAAAACAGTTTCCACTTCCATCAGGACTGTCCCTAGAACTGTCCCCAGATCTCCCAGTGTATGACAGTAGAATGCTTTCCAGATGGGTGAGTTTGTGCTGTTATTAAGTCATGATTTTAACAGATTTCACAGTCAAGGCAAGTAGAAGTTGTCTAGGCAAACCCCAGAGTGTGCACATCTCTTATCTCTGGGCCTGTTGCCCTTGGGAGGCCCCCACCTGGAGTAAGAGACCATACCTGTGGTAAGGTACCACATCAGCTGTTTCACTGTAAAAATTAGCAACAAATAGCCCATACAAATCAGAAATAAAATTTTAACATCTGCTTTTACTTCCATGGATTTTAACCACGGTCAAATTACTCGACAGGGATTAAGTAGCAGGAGCAGCCTGCCAACCCCACAGCTGAGACGATCCTCAGGAGTTTCTGGCTTGTCATCCATGGAATCAACATCATCCAGATGGGAAAGGAGTAGCATTAGCAAGAGATCCCATCAGGAGTATAACACACCAAGGTAAGCACTGAGCAGCATTTTAAGGGCAATAATAATGCTGGAACTTGGCAGCAGAAGTACTGGATGTAAAGTCCTGTGAATTAAGGCTCCAAATTCTGCCAGCATAAACTGGAAAAGTTAATGATGTACTATGCTGTGTAACTCAGGTTGATCTTAAGTAGAAATCAGGTTGTTCTGAGGTTAAATAGTCTGCTCTGTCATAGTAAGTAAAACTTGATATAAGCTTGAGTAGGAAATGAAAAAAGAGTCCAGCATACATGATTACAAAACAAACTAGTCTCTAAACTTGTACTGACTGCCTCAGTCTTTTAGTTTAATATATGGATCACTTGCCAACTTTCATATACCCATGCACAGTTAAAAAGGTGAGACAATTTTCTTGTGGTTGGTAGCCACTGTTGTGTGTATTATAATGTTTATTATTCCTCCAGTCATCAAGCAAGTTTCAAGATAAATTAAGGTAGTAATCTCTTCTCTACTGGTTAGTAAATATGGCGCAAATAGAGGTTTTATTTCCAGAATCAGATAACATTCTGAATTAGGATTAAGATGAATAAGTTTTTTCTTTCTTTTTGTATAATGTTGTATATTAGTGAAAATTCACACATTCCATTTTATTTAAATGTATAAATGAGCACGTCTTTATTTCTCAAATCTGTCAAAATGTGTGTGGTTTTGCTTCTCTTGTTTTGTTGGTTTTGTTTGGGTTTTTGTTCGGTTGTTTATTTGAGTTTTTTATTTGATTTGGTTTTTTTGGTTTTTTTTTTCTTTAAATGGTTCTGCATAGGTCATAAGGAAAGTATAACATGCATTTTTAGAAAAGAAAATGTGAGTTATGCTGATAACTGGAATTATTAGTAGTAGATGGGAATTTATATACACATGTCCAAGAATTTACTTATCAGCATTTTATTTAATATTAAAGTGAGCCACTTGAATAATTTGTCCCTTTCAGTGGTTTTTCCCCCTTGAATAAAAGATGATCTTTAAGTTTTTGCGCTGTAAGACTTAACTGTGGTTTGTGTATGAAGTACCATTGAAGATTCTAATACGAGCAGTAGTGGTCATTAAAAGATGATATTTCCATGCTGACCTGGTTGCTGGTGTCCAGATAGATGAACCTCCCCACTGGAAATAACCAGGGACCAGAGAAATTGCTTTAACCTTAGCAACTGTGGGATTTCAATTTGAGACTCAGCCCTCCTGCTGCAGTCTCAGTGTACATTTACAGAGGGTTTCCTCACTTTCCTTACTATTCAAAAGCATCTCTTCTGTTTTATTTGTATGCAAATTTTTGGCTTGGTTTCTCATTCAAACACAAACTCAAAATGTAAAGTTCTTCCTCATGTTGAGGTGAAGCTTCTCGTGTTTTAGTTTATGACCATTGCTCGTCCTCCTCTTGCTGGGCAGCACTGAAAAGTGTCTGGCACCTTCCTTTTAGCCCTCCTTTGAGATATTTATATACATTGATGAGATCCCCTCTCAGCCTTCTCTCAACTAACCAGGCCCAGCTCCTGCAGCCTCTCCTTATATAGGAGATGCTCCAGATCCCTCATCATCTTATGGCTCCACTGGACCCTTTCCTGTAGTTGGAGATACACAGGAATAAATCCATGTTTATTCTTGAACTCGTTTTTCATATTCATGTATTTAAACTAGTGATGGGAGATCAAGTATTATTTCTGTATTGGACTTTTTTTGCCATCGGCTGAAGAAAGATTAAATCTGTTTTGGTAAATACTATTTTCCCCTCCTGAAGAAAAATAGTTTTACATTAACTATTTTCACTTTGAAGTAAACACATACAGTTATTTTTAATTGCATATTACATTTTTGTTCCCTAAAGGAAATATAATTTTAAACCATGGAGTGAAATTTTGTCCCTGGAACAGCAGATGGCAGGATTGAGCAATCGAGTTTAAGGATTTGGCCAGGGAAGCAAAACACGCTTTGATGTCAAAAACAGCTTCAGTTTTAAGTTTATAATAAATAAAACATCTGATTGAATATGCAAAATTTATGTGGCTGTGTAAAGTTTTAATTGTATTTCCAAAGTGATCAATCTTCAGATTTGTTAGGAAACAGCCTGCTTCAAATGTTCAAGGAAAGTAGCATGTTAGAAACTAAAACCTATCACACAATCTGAGTACATTTGCTGCATCATTGTAGGATGTGTTAATTTTATTGTTGCTTTCAATCAGTACACAGCAGTTTTTATTTCATGTAATTGACATGTATTTTTTAGCTGGTTTTGAATTGGACAGCTTTGTAGTATTCTTAAATGGTGGTGCACCTGTCACAGGGCAGTGTAGCTATTTTAAAAGAATTTAATTAATAAAAGTGGAAGAGAAATGAAGAAACAATGAAAAAAAATCCTCACTGTTTTCTTTTCAGCCAAGGATCTCACTCAAATGGGTCTTTTGGTGCAAACTTGCTGACAATACCAAAGCAAAGATCATCCTCTGTGACCTTGGCTCATCACATGGCTCCCAGACGAGCAGGTAGGGTCATGCCACTTGTACAGTAACAGGATGGCACATCACAGGTCTTCTCATGTAAACAAAGCACTGAAATAACTTCAGCATGCCCCTTGATGTTTAAATCCCCTCTTTGCAAAGAGCAATGACTTTGTTGGCATCTGGACCCCATGTCATGTTTGTTTTGGAAGGTGCTTCTCCTGGCCTGAGTCCCGTGGGTTCACCAAGCCATGGATCTGTCTCCAGTGGGGCTTTCAGCAACTGGTCACCTGTGGAATTCCCTGACACTGCTGATTTCCTCACAAAACCAAGCATTAATATCCACAAGCCTCCAGGACACACACCTAGCTCTCCAGATTTTCAGCAGCCTGTTAAAACACCTGTAGGTTATTTGTGTAGCAGGTACTGTAAATTCTGTTATAATTTCAGTCACTTCATATGGGTAAAAAGAATGCAATTAAAATAAAAACAAACCAACAAAAAATCAGGCCCTGTGCCCCTACTAGGATAGAAAATGGGCATAAATCTCATAATAATCTGTAACTGTGTTATCCATGGGAGAATAAAGCATGCTTGAATGTATGTTGCTGCTTTGACATGGCCCATCCTTCTCAGCAGCTGTTATTGTAGAGGAGCAATGTTCTGTGGAATTTTAGAAAAGGAGGGTTTCTTACTTGGGAATAGGATTCTGTGTTTCTGAATGCTTTCTTAGTTATGAGCTCTACTTTTTAATAATTCAGGGCTCTAAATCTGGGGGAGGTGATGGTTGATTATTATCCAAGGACAGACTAAATCTATGTGTGCCAAATTTAGGAGAAAATACTCTAGTCAGTTGTTGAAGGAATCTTTACAAGCCTTTTTAAAAAAAGTAATCTGCAGATATTTTTCAGTAGAAGACAGCAGTAGCAAAAGAAGAAAGTTACTGAATGTTGTAAATATTTTTCATGTATTCTGTAAGCTGTGGACGTCAGATTCTCAAGCCTGTTCCAATACCAGAACCAGACTTTGCAGAATACAGAGACAGAAAATCAGGTGGGATTTCAAAATAGACAAATACTTGATATCAACTAACTGCTTTTTTTTCCCCAAGTCTGTTAAATTAAAATTTCACTATTTCTACATTTTTTTCCTATATTTTAACCTATGTATGCATTTTACTTTGTTTTGTGTTTTAGAATAATCAAAATAAGACGAAATATTGCCTGCTTCATAGTAAGGATTTTAAAACAGGCTTCCACTAATACCTTCATAGCTCTGTACTCCATGTATCAAATAAGTACTTTACTAACTAAGCTAAACTAATCACTTTTTTTTTAATAAAAGCTATGCTTATAGCTTTTCTTCATCTTCAAATAATTTTTGTCTAATAAATTTTGTCCTCAATGACTTTTTTGCATATTTCCTAAATAAAACGGTTTAGAAACAAGCTCTTACTTATATTTCTGGCACAAATCCATATGACCAGTTAAAAAATTATTAGACAGTAGTAATTTACAAATCAGTTACTGATGCAGTATTTCTCTGTGTGTTTTCTTCAAGGTGAAATTGCAAGTGCTAATGTCTCCAAAGAATCTTTCCACCATACAGAGAAGAGGAAAGATGAAAAGAATGAAATGATCGATCAAACACAAAATACACTGCTTGTAAGCATGTAATTGCCAAAAAAACCCCCCTGCAATAACTTTTCTCAATTCACTATTTCTTTGTCATTTCCAACTTGCTGTGAAGAGGCCTTTATGTTGCGAAAATAGTAATTTCTGAGGGGTTATGGTGCATGGTTGGAATTCAAATTTTCATTTAACAATTGTTTATCTGGCATAAATGTCACTAGCAAATGACAGGAAAGCTTGTGGTTGTATTGACTTTGTTGATCAATATTGATTTGTGTAGATTTAATGTTGAGAGGGTATGCTCAAACACTGGCTAGTATTTTCTTTTGGAACTTTATGAAAGATGCAGCAGTGGCAGTGAGACTCACAAATGAATGTCCAATACAGTGCTATTAACATTTTGGGTTTATACATCAGGTGTTTTTAAAACTTGTCCAATTAACCTATTCTTAAAGCTCAGTAAATCTTTGGTTTTAAGCCTATGCATATTTTTGCTTTGTTTTATTAACTCTTCATGTCTAAAAATAAATAAGAAGGAAAATTTAGCACTATCTCAGACAGCCCCAGAATCTGCTGCCCAAAACAGGAAAGCTCAAGCCTTTAAGTGTGCTATTTGTGATATTGATTTATGATTTTCTCATAGCCGTAGTTGCAGCACCATTCAATAAATTCACTAATGATTTATCTTTTTCAGGGCTTTTTTTTGCCAACACAACTGATAAATTAATTTTCGTTGTTATTTTAGAGATGATAAAGTATCTTAATCTCATACAGGTGGAACAGAGTTCTACATTAGAAACAATGATATTAGACCATGATTCACTATTGGAGAAGATGAGCAATTGGAATTTCCAAGTTTTTGACCTTGTAAAAGAAATGGGAGATCAGTCTGGAAGGATCCTCAGCCAGGTTTGTTGTCCTTTATTATATGAGGGAGGGTAGGTAAAGGTGTCCTTTATTTAATCCATGAAAAAATTTTGCAGTCAACGTTCATGTGGATACTTGAAATTGCATTTATGTGAATATCTTCAAAAGCAGAAATGTGACTTCTCATGTACTCCATGTCATTGTAAACCATAAAAAATGGTTTATCTATAGAGAACATGCTCCAGTTTTTCTGAATTTCATTCTCAATGTAAATAGGTTAGACTCACACTGATGAGGTTTTGCCATAATTTCCTGTGCAGAGTTATCTCCTGCTTTCAGAATTACTACTCTGCTTGGTAACCATTACTTTTTTCTCTACTTCAGTAAAATATTTCTGCCCCACCTGTGGGGGGAGAGAAGTGATCTTTTAGGCAGCGTTTTGCCTCTTGATCCTACAAACAGTGGAGTTTTTTTCCATTCTGCTTTCTGCATGTAGTATCCCTTTTATCTCTTTCTGATTTATTTCCATGCATTTCCATGTTTGCTGAAGCCAATTCCTGCTGGCAGGTGCAAGAATAGGATCCTGTTTGCTCTTCCCCAGCTTGTCCCATTCATCAAGGTCATCTGGAAGCTTCTGCCTCTTTCTTTAGAGTGGATTTAGCAATCATGGAGCTTCTGATCTGACCGCTAAACAGTTTTATTTCCAGTATCTTAGTTTTCCACCCTGGAATGATGTCCCCTAATTTTGCAGCTCCTGTTCCTCTGAGCACCTCCCACGCTTTAGAACTTCTTGTTCCTCTCCTGTGTCTAGGGAAAAAAGTTATAAAAATGAATAGCAGTGACTTGTTTTAAATTTTTGTAAAATTAAAAAATTTGCAGCTGTGGTGAGGGAGGATTAGGCTTTGAAGTACACTGATATCTACATGTAAATAATAATATATGGTCTATATACATATATGGAAGTTCTGAGTACCTCTTTGAAATACTTCTTCATTTACCAGCTGGTTTTATTAAAAACACTCAAGAGAAATCATAATAAATGCAAGAACTAGCATCTCTTTGCCAAAGTCTCAAAACAACTTGGAGGACTTGTGTTGTTTGTTTCTCTTTGTTTTGTTTTATTATTAAGGACTTTGCTGTTTTAATTAAATAAATTGAAGTTCTGAATAATAAGTCTGAATGTAAATTTCTTCTTTTTAGGTCATTAATGGGATAAAGCATGGCTTATTTAGCCTTCTAAAAAAATTTGGGGTATATTATTACAAATGAGTTGTGCATAGAATTATCAGTAATGACATAAAAGCTTTTATTATTCTTTATTGAGAGGATTGTGAAAATCCACATTTTTGTGCTAAAAATATATTAAATATATCTCTATGACAATAGCATTCCAATAATTCTTTAGTGGAATTTCAGTGTTTTCCATGTCTGTTGGCAAGTACAATTTTAAAAACAAGAAATATTTTTCAAGTTGAAAAAGCAGAACATGCAAAGATATTTAAGTTTTTCAGATTAAAATTAATCTTAATATTTGTTTAGGTTACTTATACCTTGTTTCAAGACACTGGCTTGTTTGAAATTTTCAAGATCCCCACTCAAGAATTTATGAATTACTTCTGTGCGCTAGAAAACGGCTACCGGGATATTCCCTGTAAGTGCTCCCTGGTTACACAAGGAACTTTGTTATCAGTGGCTCCCCTTTGCTGTGGGAATTTGTATTTCTGGGCTGCTAAGTGTGTTTTTAGTGAATGCACTTGACAGAGCTTAGAATGGGTCTAGAGAATTGCAGGACAAAGTGGGTGGACTCTAAAAGTGAATTGGTTAATTTGGAGTTTGAAGATAATCTTAGAGAATTTGAATTAGTGGTGGAATCAAACACACTGAAGTCAATGGGAGAATAGTTGCTGATTTAACAGAAATTTGGGTGAGGTCCTTAACAAAATGAGAAGAAATGGAGAATTTTGATGGTAGTTATTCACCTTGCTTTGCAAGGCAGCCAAATTTATTGGAAAACAAAACAAAAACCACACTTCCCCACTCCACAGATGTTTGCCCAGCTCGGGTGCTTGTAGGTATCAGATTGCAGGCCACGCTTGTTTCTCACCATTATTGATTTAAAAGGCCATTTAATCCCTTCCTGAGGCCCAGGTAGGATGAAGTGTACATAGACACTGTTTGTTTATCTAACTGCCTTCTGAAAAATGTTCAGTGATACATCTATCTACCACTAACATTTTAAATTCTATTTTTCCTTTTAGACTTAATCAAAAGCTCACTTATAATACATTTTGTACTTTTTTTTTTTGCTGTTGTTTTTATTATTCCGTGTGATGCCATTCCAGATAATAGTTTTTTAATTGTATCTTGTTGATTTTTCAGATCACAATCGTATCCATGCCACGGATGTTCTCCATGCAGTTTGGTACCTGACCACACGGCCCATTCCTGGATTCCAGCAAATCCGTAATGAGCACATAATGGAGAGTGAAATAGGTGTGTATTCACACAGGCTGGTTTTGTTTTGCTGAAGAATCTTACAATGAACCTACAGCAGGTGAACCAAATTGCTCTGGAAGAAAATATAGAATTATTCTTATGACTCACTTTTTTTTTTTTGTACTTTAATATAATGCAGTAGAAAAAAATCACAAAGCACACACCGTTCAGAAATATCATGCAATTGACTTTCAGAAAAATTAGTAGATGAGTAATGGTTAGTTTGTTAGCCAAGAAAACTGGTTCACTTAATAAATTTTCTATGCTGAATGAAACCTCTGTATTCTGCTATAGTCAGGGTATTTTTAGCATTTGAAATACATTAGGCTAATATTTCTTAACTTTATTGGAAAGTTAAATAGACCAAAGAAAAAATACCAAAGTATTTAACTTAATTGAAGTTCTCCTTAATGGCTTTAGTATAAAAATTAATATTTTAGAATTTTCAGTTAGCTATCACATGCAGGCTTTCAAACTCAGAAGAGACCACCCCAAAAATAACTGCATAAGAGCATCCCTGAAAAGGAAATAATACCTCCAAATTCAAATGTTGTGTGAAGGTACTTCCAGTGAAGCTTGCTTTTGTATTGTCTGTGACTTCATAGAACAAACTTTTAAATTTAGAATTTGTAATTTTTACCTAATTGTATCCTATAAGTAAAGGATTAAAAAAAAGATTGGAAACATAGACTTGGATGCTAAATGGTTTGTATGTCAGAAAAAATAAAATCAAGAACTCTGTTTGAAGTGTGTAGTAGAAAAAGACAAGACACAAGTCATATGGCTTTTAGAGGGCTGGGATTTTCTCTTTTTTCCAAGTTTGTCCCTATCTATTGATTGCACCCTATTGCCTTTTCTTTCTCCAAGTGTTAAATGGGTTGGGTCTGGAGACTTAACTGGAGAAAAGTGATAATAATGATTTTATTCTCCTCTACAAAAAAAGAAAGATTAAAATAAGAAATTATAATCTTATTGCTTGGAAACTCTTCCAGTACAAATATTTTCAGGTTTCTAATCCTTGTTTATTCTATTAAGGCAAGGGAGTTCCTTTGATATTATGCATTGCTAAAATAAGTGCTATTTCTTTTCCTTTTTTTTAAAGTAGTGACTTTGTCCATGGGAAAGACAATAATAAAACTCTGAATCTTCTTATCATGCAAATATTTCTAAACTAATGGAGTTAATTCCTTTTGCAGTAGTTTCCACTTTCCACCTCCAAGTTTTCCTGTAGGTTTGCAAGTTCAAGAAATGGGAAAATTATAGAAATACTAAGGAAGGGGCTGATTAATTTTTTCTTGGACAAATTCAGGTTTGAGACAAACAATAGAATGCTCTGTTAGTGCTACAAATTTGCAACTCAATGGCACTTCAACTTTTCTTCAAAATTGTTAATCTATAAAAATGATCATTAATTTTATTTTTTAAAATATTAGTCTGACAATTATTCAGATTCATGACAGCAAGGATAAACATACTGTGTTTGCAACAGTGTCTGGCTGTTTATACACATTTATAATGTATTACAAATATGTATGAAATACCGTTCTAAAAAATATTCTGGTTTTGTACTTTGAATTTTTTTTTTTTTTTAAGATGAAGCCGGTGGTATTGCCCCAGTTCAAGTCAGCTACACTTCTTCAAAAAGCTGTCCTATTACTGATGACAGTTATGGCTGCCTGGCTTCAAACATTCCTGCTTTGGAATTGATGGCTTTGTATGTAGCAGCTGCCATGCACGACTATGATCACCCTGGACGTACAAATGCTTTTCTAGTGGCCACAAATGCACCTCAGGTAGGAACCTCTTCACACAAAAAAATCACTTCTTTCTGTAGGAAATCAGTATAAAGAATTATTTTCTATTCTATAACTCTAAAGTAAGTTGTTTAGGATTGAAGTATTTAGGCCTGATTTAAGAAATGGGGAAATTAACATGTACTATACTTGTGTAATATTTTTCTTTCCTGTTAAATTCTGATGTGTTTTGTATGTACTGGTTGTGTATACATGCAGAAACAATTTCAAATTGCAAAATTGAAAATAACAACAGAAACCAATGCAGGATAGAGTAAAGGATTATTTAATAGAGAGCTGGCCCTGGGTCTATGTAATCAGCTATGATGGCTGTTTGGATCTCTTAGTAAGTTACAGAAAAGAAACTAAAATAATAATACTAATAATATCAACAATAACAATAGATCAGAAACTGGTACACTTGTTAGGAGATAAAGACTTTGAAAATGAACTTTCCAATCAGTTTTCATCAACTCCTTATTACAAAAGGAGTTTAGTATGTAGGATGTTGTGTATTTCTGCTGAAAACAGCATGCAAGGAGGAATAACACCAAACTACACAGACATCCATCATGAAGTCTCAAAAATGCAAGCATTCTTTGAAAAACTGCAAAAAGCTTTGGCAAAATGAATTTTTTTTCAGGTTCTGTTTAATCTATATTGAATTCATTATTTTATAGGGTGTTTTTTAGAAACATGGAAGCTGTGAGTAAAATCTGCTACTGTTTTTATATTTTAGTTAGCTTGTTTACAGTTAAAACTTCTGCATTAGCATTAAACATAGCCCTTTGAAAATTAGTGATAATTTGCACCATTTTCCATTATGACAGTTCTTTTGTGTTCTGGAGTCCTTTTTCTAGTGGGGTATTTTATTTGTTATGGTTTTTTGTTTATTTCTTTGTTTTTGTTGGGTTGGGGTTTTTGTTGTTTTTGCTTTTCCAACGCAATTAAGAGAAATTGAAAACAAATACTTAGATTTATTTTTTTCTTGTTTTGTTTTTTACATCACTGTGTGACATAAAACACACACTGCTCCACACATGCACTGTGCAAAGTCTTAAGCTGTTTTTGTGTGTGTGCCTACAGTTTGAATGTAGGTGTCACTAAGACATCATTAAGGATTTTAAAGAAAAAAAGAACATTGCTAATTGTTAAGTTTGGGGGGGGGGAGAGGGGGAGTTCCCTCATCTGTAATTTTTGTGTCATTTCAACCCCAAAACTAGAAGACAAAACATTTTTTTTATTTTTATTTTTACCTAGTGTTGTTTCTGACCAGCCCTGAAACTTCAGAATATTTAATTATAACTTTAAAACTTCCCTGTGTAATTTATGATTCCTTGCTTGTTGTTTTTTTTTTTTTTCCTGTAGGCTGTTCTCTACAATGACAGATCAGTCCTAGAAAATCACCATGCTGCATCTGCCTGGAATCTTTTCTTATCACGACCAGAATACAACTTTTTATCAAACCTTGATCACGTGGAGTTCAAGCGCTTTCGTTTCTTAGTGATTGAAGCAATCCTTGCCACAGACCTCAAGAAGCATTTTGATTTCCTTGCAGAATTTAATGCCAAGGTTTGTTCCACTTTAGTGTCTGTGCTGATCTGGTCTTGATGTACAGATTTTATCGTTGCTTCTCAGTTATTGTTGGTTTTAATTACTTGCATTTAAAGTTTTATATTCTTTAAATTTAAGCTATTAAAATGCAAGTAGAGTATTTCCTTTGTACAAACCAGCTGTAGGTGGTTTGTAGGTTGCTTAATAAACCCATGGTTTGAAGTGGATGTCTGTGCCTACCCCAGGTCAATGACATGAACAGCAATGGCATAGAATGGAGCAATGAGAACGATCGCCTGCTGGCCTGTCAAATATGCATCAAACTGGCTGATATCAATGGCCCAGCCAAAATCAGAGACCTGCATCTGAAATGGACTGAAGGCATTGTCAATGAATTTTATGAGCAGGTGGGTATGGAAAGCACAATTTTCTCTTTTTAATGACGGGCAGATAATGCTTTGTTTTACCAGTGTTTAACTAATTTAAGCTTTATTCCTTGTTTTAAATCTTCAGGTGAGGTATTTCTATCTTCTCATTCTGAACACTAAAATTTATTTTCACAGTTAGCTTACTAGCATGATCTTTTAGTTTCTAATAATTGTGTTAGAAAACAAGCTCCCAGCCAGTATTCTCCATTTTTCAGATATTAGGGGATTTTTGAGGGGGAGGGATTCTTTCCTTAGGATGATGCTGACAAAGCAAAAAAAAAATTCTTTCATTTTGGAAGTTAAGTTCACAGATGTGTTTCTAGGTGAAAGAATATCCAAAAGACTGCAAGTGTATGTTCAGCTCTAAAGCTCTCAGGTCCATGGAAGTGCTGAGATAAGTAATTATAGCTCAGATTTTTTGATGAACAACTGTTCAATGTTTTTCTTCTCCAGTTTATAAAATGGTGGGGAAAAAAAAACCAAACAAAACAGTGAAGAAACCACTTGACTCTGGATGTCATAGCTCATTTCATTCTCCTGTGGCCTTGCAGGGGATGCCATTACCAGCATGCCTTGCTATGGCTGATTTCTCTGCCACTTTCTCTGTTCGTCAGCTCAGCAATTGAAGTTGAGTCTCTGCCTGCTCTGAATCCATCCTGTCAAGGCAGAGGAATAGCAGTTCCAGTAGAACTGGTTCTCCATCCAGACACAAGCAAAGCTGGAGGGAGGATTATGGACTGTGCAAGTCTGAGCCATAATGTGTCTTTATTTTAAATTGGCCTAATTACATTTTCATTCCCTTAGTCTGTACAATTATTCTCCCCAGTAAAAACATACAATCCATGTGGTGGTTCATGGAATCACAGAATATCCTGAGTGGGAAGGGACCACAGGGCTCGTCAAAGCTAACGCCTATCCCTGCACAGGACATCCCAAAAATCACATTATGTGCCTCAGAGCATTGTACAAAAGCTTCTAGAGCTCTGTCAGGCTGGTGCTGTGAGCACTGCCCCAGAGAGCTGTTCCAGTGCCCAAACACCCTCTGGGTGAAGAACCTTTTCCTAATATCCAGCCTAAACCTCCCCTGACAGAGTTTTATGCCATTCCCTCAAGCCCTGTCGCTGCTCACTGGAGAGAAGTGATCAGTGCCTTTCCACGTGCTTCCCCTCCTGAGGAAGCTGGAGATTACTCGCTTCATTAAAAGTAATTTTTAAAATAAGAATTTAAAGCCAATTTTGTGAGAAATTCTGGTAAGTTTTTTCATTTCTTTTTCAGGGTGATGAGGAAGCAAGTCTTGGGTTACCTATAAGCCCCTTCATGGATCGTTCTTCTCCCCAGCTGGCGAAACTGCAGGAATCTTTCATCACTCACATAGTTGGCCCCCTTTGTAATTCCTACAACGCAGCTGGGTTGCTTCCAGGGCAGTGGGTTGATGAAGAGGAGGAGGATGCAGAAAGCACTGAAGATGATGATGGTGCACAGTTAGAGAGTGATGATGAAGAAATGGAAGATGATCTTATTTTAAGTAAGTTTCTGTGTTTCAGTTGGTGCTTGGTTGTCCTCCAGTAGCTTCAGATGTAGCAGTGGTAGTTGAAATTGTGCTGTAGAAATCTTGTAGCATTTGCTATTCTGCTGCTTCATAAATTTTCCTCTTTTAACAAAAGTTTTGTTGCTACCAGGAGATTTGCAATTTAAAACAGAAACTTGTTGATATCCTTTGCCATGCCACTGTTTAAATATTCAGAATAATCATCCATGTGCCTCGCTGAAATGTACATCCTGCTTGCAATGTGCCATTGGCTTTGTATGTATAAAATACAATTACTCAGAATGTCAAACAATCCAATATGCTTATAATTTTACAGAAGCTCAAAGAAAAAAAGGTAGACGAATATTTTGCCAGCTAATACACCACCTCAGTGAAAATCACAAAATATGGAAGAAAGTGATCGAAGAGGAAGAGAAAAACAAAACAGAAGGAGCCAAACTGCTGACTGAAATCTCATCTTTACCTCAAGCAGATGACATTCAGGTTATTGAGGAAGCTGATGAAGATGATGAACGACAGCTGGGAGAAGAGAAGACGTGCTAAGGGAGCTCCAGTGGTGTCCAGTGTGATGACAGCCTATGTTTTTTCCACTGTGCTGACTTCAGCTCACACACATAAAATCGAAAGGCCTTAATACTGTGAGAGGATTCTTTGTGCTCTGGTGGAATCCCACTCCTATGCACTTTCGCCACACACAGAATACAGGACTTTATTCAGAGATTGAGTATTGTATACCCTGATGCAAAGTTCTTTATGCCTTAGTTGGTATAAAATATCCTGATATAATGCTGCCTTGCTGAATATGGAACTCTTCTTTTCCTTGAGGTACCTGCAGTTTTTAAAAAAACATTCAGTGACTTTGATTACCAAAGTGGCAAGAACTTTTCGCTAACAAGGAACCGCGGGATGAATCCTAACCTTGTCTTGAGTTGCTTATTTCATGTTGTTTTTGAACATGAATGAGAAAAAAAAAAGTCTGTGCCTACATGAAAACCATGTTACTGCTGCAGTGCAAGCCTGTTGTGGGGTGTCTGCTTAGTGCAGTAGTGTGCTTCATGTAGTCATCTCAGAGCAACTGTTCAAGGACTGTGACATAAGTGCTGAATTCTGATATTTGTGGTTTAAAAAGAGGAAAGAAAATCCAGGTGCATCTATTTCTGATGCTTTTTATTATTGTGCATAATCTGATGTTTTATTTTTGCAGAAAATATTCAGGTTTGCAGTGGGTGTTCATGATAATTCATTGAATACAAGGCCATTCTCATCTGTTGCCTTGCTGTTTTGTGGTAGAACATTAAAAACCTGTTCAGCTACTTAAATTATGAAGGAATTTTATTCTTTTACTCATAAATAACGTTGTATTTCCTGCCCTTACTCAGGTTCACTTTAAAAACAAGTCAACCACATCATAGATTTTTATCTTGCACCCATTTCCCATATTAAATTTTAAGGAAATAAGATCTTATCTCATTTATTCTTTGTATGTAAAGCTTTAGGAGAATTAAAGATTTTTTTTTAAAGACATAAACTACTGTTGCAAAATGGCTATTTTAATTTGCCCCACACATTTTTCCCATTTTAGACACAGCTTTTATTGCCTTCAAGTTTGATGTGCATCCTGAAATACACATATGGAAACCAGAAGGTGGAAACTTCGTGTAAAGCCTGATACAAGATAAAAATCACTGTACTGTACCAAATTTTAGATTGTTGAGTTTTAAAATAACAAACTTACACATTCCACCCCAATGTATTTTTAGAAACACTACCATAGTTGGTCTAATTTGTAAACAAACAAACGAAAAAGTTGAAAATTAGGCTACAGGTAAGCAAGCCAGAGATAAGCCTGGTTTTAAAAGTGCTCCTTTTAGTACTGAACTTTAAATGCTGTGTAGTTGAACCGAATAAAACCCAAATGCACGTGTGCTATTTCTGAATGTGTCTCAGCATATTTGTGTTTGCATCAATTGACTTGGAAAAAAAAAAAGATAACCTTGTGCAAACTGTATTACACTATTTTACACAGGTTTTCCTTCTGCTGTTTCATTGGCCAGTTTAAATAACTGAAAGCTTTGGGCTTTTTTTTTCTTTTTGCTCTTTTCACTAATAAGCCTTTTGTTGATGCACTTACAAGACCACTGAAATGTGTTTTTGCTATATCTACAGTGCCAAATTCCCCTATGCTGCCATTATCACTGTCACTGCAGTTTTTTTGTAACATGAGCAGTGTTAAACCAGATATTTCTGTCATTAATAAAATGTTGCACTATTGAAGCTGGCACTTACTGATCATACACCTGGTATTTGACATTTCTTTGGTCATATATTCTTACAGTTAATGTGAAGACTAGAAAAATTCTGATTCTTTTAGTATGCTGTATTCTCAGCATTTTGTGTTTAGATAGTGTGTTTGTGTACATAAAATATCATTTTAATATTGTTTAATATCATTTTGCTTTGTCTGACAAATGATACTAATTATTTTGTCTAAAGTTTCTGTTCTATTATTTTACATTATGAGTTTCCATTTTTTAGTTTCCCTTAAAATGCCATTATTTATAAATTAACAAAAGTATAACAAGGTAAAAATTAATATTTTATGTTTTGCTAGAGCATTGGCAGGACTTGCATGTGGTGACATCTTTGCCAGCAACTTTCTTATCTCAGGTTTCTCTTAAACTCTTTAGGAATACTGAAGCAATTTTAAAATCCAGTGACAAGCAGCAAACCTCAATGTTTAATAAACTGCAATGCTAATATGTATTTCCAATTAGATATTTACAATAGATTGCTTCAAAGATACATTTAATTATGAATGTGTTCTAAATCTGCTTTAAAGTGCCTTTTTTTAACGTGTGCACAGTATGTGACTAATTGTTACTCTAAGAGCAAAGGGAAAAGATGGAAAAAAAATTAACAAAGGCTGGTTCAGGGAATGTTTGCAGAAGTGGATGTGGCTGTAACTGAAGGTGTCTTAAATCTTTCAAAAATGGTGATGGAGGGTCCTCTGAATGTTGTTTGAGCTGTTGTGTAAAATATCATCTCTCCATACAAAGAATATCACTCTTAAATCTGTGATCACACTTCAGTAATTCACAGCTGCCAGGGGATGCTGAGTAGTGCTGAAAACCACACAAAGGAACACATTTAAAACACTTTCTAATGCAGCACTACCTCTTTTGGTTTTGTTTTTTTTTCCCCAAGAAGTGGACCAAATTAGCCTACACTGAAGTTTATGCCATGCAGAAATACAAGTTTTATGTAGAATATTCTCAGGTTTGAGTTTCCCATCTTCTCATTGCCTTCTTTTCCAAGGTGTGTTGGATTACTTGCACCCGTACACACAGAACTAGACCTACCAAGTTTCTATAAGGGCAAAATTCTCCCTGTGCTTCCTGGAGTCCTCTGGATGTGGAGGAGGTGCTAAACCAGTCAAATGAGTAACTTGGAACCTCTTCCTATGAGTTCTCCCTCCATGACAAAGTTTAACAGTGAGTGTAAGGTTCAAAATTAAAGGAATGGTTTGGGATTGCTTAAGGTAAGTCCAGACTAACGAAGTTTGTGTAAGACTTCATTTGCTCTGTGCACAGAACCATTTCTTTGTATTTACATCCAGTTTTAACCACAACCAGGGGCAGGTGAAGCAGCAAAAGGAGTTAGAATTCAAGAGCTCAAAGCTTTGGTGCTTGCTCCTGGTGTAGATGCAGTTGAATCTTGGCTCTTCTGGATCCTCTGAGAGCACAGATGGAATTTGAGGTAATCCAGAGTGTGTTATTGCCCATAGAGGGTGTGGGGTCCCCCTGGAGATGTTCCAGAACCATCTGGACACAATCCTGTGCCATGTGCTCTGGGATGGCCCTGCTGGAGCAGAGGGGTTGGGTGACCCCTGTGGTCCCTCCCAGCCTGACCCATTCTGGGATTCTCTGTGGCACCTACACTCACGTGGCAGCATTTCCCCTCTTGTCCAGAAAACCATTTGAGATGTTCAGAATTGTAACTGTCTCATACACTGGTGAGTGTGAGAGCAGGAATCCCAGCCTGAGGGATGTTTTGGACTAAAAGGATGGAATTACCTTGGATGATGAGAACCAGAAAGAAGAGGTAAGAATGGGACAGACACAAAAATATACTAAAGATATTCGGAAGAGAGACACTGATTGTTGTCTCAGGCCAGTCTGTGTTCAAAATATTATAGAAACAGTATCTCTTGATCAAGTCAGAATACTTGGATTTTTAGAAATGAAATGAAAATGGCAATGGAAATAATGATGCAGTCATCACAACTTAAGCTGTGATAGAAGTTTTAGGAAATTGATCCTTCAGTGGCCAATAAAGATTAAATGAGCGAAAGCAAATATATAAAGTTGATTAAATGAGGTACAAGAAGTTTGATCAAGACAGTATTATTTTGCATTTTTTTCTTCCAGCTCTCAGAATTGTGTCTCTGGACAATGTGCTGCTTCAGTCATGTCTGTGTTAAGGCAAATGAGGTAATGAATTACTTTCACTTTTCCAATGAGGAATTTTTTTGCAATATCTTCTGAAGTAAGTCTTTAACTTGCTATAAAACTGTCCAGTGGATTCTCAGGAATGAAGATGACAAAAGAACACAGTTTTTAAATGCTATCTGTCTGATCTTAGTTTAAAAGGGCTATAAGCAATCAGTTTATTTGTCCTCTGCTTAATGAGAAGGAATAAAACATTTTTAGAGGAAAGAAAGCTGATGGACCGAGCTGCTACAGGATAAACCTTCCATTGCACTTGGCTTTAGGTGTGTAAGTGATTTACACCTACTTGGTTCTGTGTGACACTTCAGACACCCTTTAAGAAGGGCACAACACAACCAGAAATGTTTGACAGGAAGGTTTCTTTTGGGATCTGTACATCATGAGTCATCTTCTGATTTCTGGACTTCAAGAGATCAGCTGCTGGTGCCTGTGGCAGGTTCTGCTACACAGGCTCTGCTCCTTGGCAGAATGTTGCCATCTGTGGACTATCATAGAGTAAAAATCTTCTAGTGAGGTGAAACCTTCTGTCTGCTGGTTTATCTGTGAGGTTTCAGAAGGAAAAAAAAAAAAGGTGATGTTTAACCAACCCAGCCTTTAAGTACTGGTGAGAGACCACGGTGTTTCAAATGATCCCCACCATTCACCTTGTGATTTGTCCATGTTCTAAACATCCTGCCAAAAAACAGGTGATGAGTCACTTCTGACTCATCTCTCTGGATCAGCAGAACCCTTTGCACCTTGAGTGAGATCAAAATATCTTCATTTTAATTGCATATAAAGCAAAAGGTAATGCTTAGCCTAAAATGCAGGTATCATACCAAAAATACTGAGGATAGGGTTGACATTAATTATTGCACATGAGGAGCAGAGTGCAGATTCTGTCCCCTGTACCTGTCAGATGTGAAAACTTGCTCCTATATATAGTCATTCAAATGGGCTTAGCATGCCCCTTTTTTTATCATGACATTCATCCTAGTGGAATTTATTAATCTGTAGTACTGCCAGTTTATCTGACTCATATTAACTAAGCTTTCTTTCAGTCAAAAAAGTCGATAAGTAAGACCCTCTATCTTTGAGAATGAGTTTGTAGTAATTGAATTCAATTCATCATAACTAAGTCACTACCAAAATACTGTTTCTAATTTCAGATGCCACACCCCAGGAAAAATGCCTGTCCTTTAGACAGATTTACAGAATTGTAGCACAGACCAGTGGGGCTGATGACGTGGCCTGAAGAGAAGGAGAAAGATGAAATTAATTAAAAAGATTATTTCCTTGTCTAGAGAAAATCAGACTTGAGTGAGATATTCTAAGGTTACCTTATGAGGCTGTTTCAAAGAGTAATCAGAATAATGCTTTCAGTGTTTATTGTGTTTAGCACAAGGAGTAACACCTTTAGGTGGCAAGGCTCAAACATGACTGATTGTCTGAGGATTGAGAGGGCTCTGACTCACTGAAATAGATTGTCTGGGGCTATTAAGAAAGGATCTGCAAAAAAAAAGTCTGAAAAACAGCTTTTTGTAAAACTGTTAGTGGACCAGATGAGTGAACTGCAGAACTTACTGAGATCCTTTCTGAACCTATTTTTTAAACACTAGGACTAGAGTAGAGGTCTGATATGGAAACTTTAAATACCAAGAAGAAAATGTGCACAGTTATAGAAATAATAACATTTAAACAGCAAGAACTGGAGGCATCAACTCCTTTATTTCAGTAAATATTAAAGCCTTTTTATTTTAAATGAGTTTCACCCATAATCCATCTCCCACCAGAAAGAGTCTTTTTATTTGTTGAGAGAGCTAGAATCATCTTGAAAAAATAGGTGAGATTTGAATCTTAGCCAGAGATAAGAATCTAATTGTCAGATGGTGAATAAATGGAGAGGCAGTAGCCAAAAAGTTTTTTAAAAATATGATTATCTTAAGTTAGTTTGCTAAAGCTAATTGTATTTTAAATATTTTTCGATCTATGTGGGCCTTTCTAGATCTTAAAGTGCATTCTTGAGACATTGGGAGGTGTTGGACGCTTCAGAAGATGATGTAATTCATATACTTAGCAAAAGAATTACTATCAGTGAGTAGGGATTTTTAGACAAATTTTAGCTGTTAGCACTAAATTTTATTCCCATCAACAATGAATTATTCTTACTGTCTCTGTGTCATCCTGAAGTTCATTATGGCACAAAGAGCATTTTATAGATTACACCTACAATTTGTGGTGAAGTAAATGCAGTATTAAGCTGTGTTGCATTCCTCTCTATAGTGTGGTAGTTTAGACTGTACATTCCTTGAGAGAGAAATGGTGTGTCTTTACAGAATGTAAAATAAAATAGAAGAAGATCTGAAAATGCCCTGAAGTGGCTTTATAAAGCATTTTTATGCTTCCAAAAAAAAAAAAAAAAAGGAATTAAATTAACTTCCTAATCTATATCAGATAAAGAGGGGTTGCAAATACCAATGTTGTTCCTGGAAAAATTAGGCTTATAAAATTCTGCTGTGGTGCATGTTCAGCATTATTATTATTAATATTTTTTAAATGAGCTTATTGCGTAATTTGAAGAGAACCAAAGGGGCATTTTGACTCCTTAAACAAGGATGCCTGTGGCAGAAGGAAACTTAATTACCTGAGAATTCCTTCAGATGTTTTATCCATAGTGATTCCCTAACTTTCATTCCTTGCTGGTGTGAAGCTGAACCTGTATTACATATATTAGTAAGGAACCTGAACAATGAGGCATCCTTTAAGCCCTTGTTTTGGTGAGGGTATAAATGTCCATGAGACATGGATGGGTGGATAATGTTGTCTGGATACTGATGGGCCTGATGTGGATAAGCATCTCAACAAATTAACTGTAACATAAAAAGCTTTTTAATACATAATATTTTTTTCATGCTTCTGATGAATCGTAGTTAACACAAATTAAAAATATTTCCTTTAAGTTTTTTTTTTTACATGAGTGTAGAAAAGGAAGTCATCACTTGAAAACAGCAGCAGAATAAGCAGTAACTTTATTCTGTTTTCTAGAATGTTGCTATAGGCCAGTCTATATCACATGTAAAATTTTTGGCAAGCAGCCATCTGCTGCAGTAATAGCAAGATATTGGATTAGATTGCACATTCCTGATGTGCTCCCATTATTTTAATGGGTTTAATCTATTTGGGATGTTACTTTTTCGGAAGAATGTAACAAATGTAGCATCTCCTGAAGCCTGGCAGTCTTCCTAAGGAATAACTGCTCTGAATGTGCATCCTGCCTAACTCTAATGACATGGACAGAGCTGACAGCCTTCACAAATGCCTGAAAGGATAATCTAGAAGAGAGAGAATCTGCTGATGCCCAATTTACATTGTTGTGAAAGGACAGAAGAAGGCAGAAGATTTCCAGAGCTGTAGTTAAATTTGATCTTGATTAGACAGAGGGTTTGAATTATCAGGCCCAGTGCCAGAAAAACACCTGGGACAGCTTATTGGCATGAAAACACATACCAGCCTTCTGTGTGGACCTTCACAGTGCAATTTATGCTGGGAATATGGAGTTCTTTTCAAACTCTTACTGATTCTGTGATCTTGGCCATGCTATCTTGTGTTTTCATCAGTCCATCTCTCTCAATCAAAGACAAATTCTGATCTGGCATCTTCCTCATTATGATTTCTTCCCCCCTCGTTTAGCCTGAATCTTTATGTTTTCATATCAAAGGTATTATTATCAAATTTACACAATCTAATTTTCACTCATTTTTCAAAGGGATTTCACTACTTTTTACTGTGTTTTTCTCTGAGCTTGCTTTTTCTCTCGTGAAAACATAATCTGCCTCATCTACTCTCTAGTGCTTGCACAAACCTTTAAGCTCAATTCAGGCTAGACACATCCTGGATACGTATAAAAATATATCTCAGTAAGTTTGTACTATTTACTTTCAGAGAAGCAGTAATGTTCCTTGAACTTTTATGAAATCTTCCTTTGTATAGTTAATTTCTGAATTAATTTGTTCCTGCATTTGTTAGGTTCATACTAAGGATGTGTTCATCAGTACCACTGAAACTGCTGGAAGTTCAGGAAATTCAGTGCTAATGAGTGAGATTTTTCTTCAGCATTTTTTCAGTGTCATATATGACATGCTTGTACTCTTTCCTTTTCAATCTCTGGGCTTGCTGACATGGCCAAAAACAACCCCAAAACTTAAATGTAAGGTTAGAGATTTGGAAAGGAAGATTTCAGACACAATGGTGGTTCTGACTGCAGCTCTTGCAGCAGTGTTGTGAAGATACACTGGTTAATATATCAACCTTTAATACCAAAACAATGTTAAATAGCAGCCAGCTGCTATCTGTCCTAGATATTTCAGCTGGAATTATCTGAACATCCCACCAGGAAATTCTGAACATCTGGCTGGCTACTGCAATCAGTATTGATACAGTGGAGGAATTCTGGAGGACTAGAAAAAACTACTATTATGTCAATATTTCAAATTCTTAAATTGGATCATTAGGATAATTCTAAGTCAGAAGGAAAATAATAAAAAAGCTGATAGAGAATGAAACATGTAAATATGAATAATACTGATACAGATTTAGAGAAAAGACAGTTTGTCAAATGTATTTGATTGCTTAAATGAGACCATAAGTTGGCAGATAATGGTAAAAGTTTGGATTGATATTCTGAGGCTTTTATAAGGCATTTTGATTTAGAAACCAGAATGACATATAATCAATATGGTTCTCATTAAATGGATTAAAGACTAGCCAGGAGTTAGATCTCAAAATACCTCAGCAAAAGGGAATTATAACTGGTCAGCTGCATTTTGAGCATGGGTCCCTGCAAGAACTGGTTCTTGATGGTTTTTAATCCTCCCCCCTACTTCAATTAGCATTATTTGAGCCATGTTGTAACAAAGGATGTCCTGGAGTTCTTGCCACCCAGAAAGCAGGACTAGGAACTGCACAAACTCTGGCTGGCTGATGTGAGAGCCCAGGGTTGGGAACAGGAGCAATTGCCATGAGTCCAAAACTAGAGCTGAACACAAGCACACATCATCCACTTGGTATCCAGAAAACCCCTGACCATGACTCCTAACCCCACTGCTTGCCAATGCCTTAGGAATGGTTGATTCAGTTTTCATGGTGTGCCCAATGCACAGCAATCAGGTTTGCCTCCTCCTTCCTCTCTTTTTTGAGTTTTAAATCTTCTCACAAAAGGCACTTTTCCAGGAAGTGGAGTAGCCTGCCCAGCCTCTTCAGAGAAACAGGAACTTGTGCTAGAGCTGCTCTCTGTGGGTGAAATAATCTGGACCTGCTGCACCTGAAGTCCACAGGCTGTTATGTGAGTGGACTGGCATTATCTCTCTTTGCTTTTTCTCTTTTGCTCTTTCAAAAGAAAGGGAGTATTTCTCCTCAGCATAAGCTGCAAGCATGAGGTCAGCAGACAAACACCAATTCCTGCCTTTCAGCTCTCCTGCAGCTCCAAGCTGCAGCACTGTCTGTGTAAAAAGCCAGGTCAAACACTCAGCCCTGGCCTTCAATAGCTGCTTGCTTGTTTTGTCCTGAACCCTGTCCTGAGGCCCTCTCTCCCCACCCAGAGGGGACTAAATTCTGTGTTTGGAGTCCCAGCTGCTCCTGCAAGGTCTGCAGACACAAATCTTTATCTACCAATAACCACAAAGCAAGAGCTGGCAAGAATAATCAATGAAGCTGACAGAAGTCAAGCGTAGCCCTTACACCTAAAATTTGTGCTTAAAATTCATTTAAAATCAGTTTCTCCCCATCCTATTGCACTTGCCCTCCCCAGAAAGTCTCTCCTCTGGTCAGAAGGGTGAGCAGTTTATTTTCTTTAGTCGTGGTATAGGTACATGTGACTCTGCTAACACAAATACTGGCTTTTTCAGACTATTTAAGCAGAGATTAATCATTACATAGTACTTTGTATTGGGAGGCAGTGGAGGACAGGGGGCTGGAAATGCAATATACTGGAGGAAAAAAAGCCCTGTGATTGTCAGGAGTATGGCAATAACTGAACACTGTGTGTCTGATGCTAAGTGAGAAGCAAGCCACGAAAGGTCCTAAAAGTGAATTCATGCTTATCTGAACACTGAACACTGTGTGTATGATGCTAAGTGAGAAGCAAGCCATAAAAGGTCCTAAAAGTGAATTCATGGTTATCTGAACACTGAACACTGTGTGTATGATGCTAAGTGAGAAGCAAGCCACAAAAGGTCCTAAAAGTGAATTCATGCTTATCTGATTCACTAGAAAATTATGACCAACGGGGAAGACAGGGCAAGGAAAAAGAAGGATAAAATGTTTTAAAAGACAATCTGTTTTTCAAGGCTGGAAAATATATTTTATTCTTGGTTACAGGTATTTAAATAGATACCTTTTAAAATCCCTTTAGCTATAAAAATTTAATGGATAATTATAAAGAATGGCTTAGCTGGAATAATGTAAATGATAATTCCACAGATGAATTCAAGCATAAACATTTTGAACCATATTCTCCATGCTTATGAAAATACCCTCTCAAAGAAAATACCCTCTCAAAGTAAAATGGCTTGCTAAGTAATTAAATATTTAAAAACTGTATCAGAACTTAGAGTCAACACAGTCTTCTGGAGTGAAAACATCAGGATGTGTTCCACACCTTTGCTTCCATTTTTTTTTTCCCTGTGAAAACCAAGTTAAAAAACCAAACTATCAGTCCTTTAAATTGTTGTTACTCTGGCTTGAGCACGTTTAGGAACAGAGCAAGTGGGTCCTGAGCTGCAGCTTGGAGCTCTGTGCTGCACCTGCCCTGCCCTTCAGCGCCTCTGAGCGCACACCAGGTACGGCTGTGGCTGCAGGGTCATGCCCAGCCTGGGCTTCAGCTCTGGCATGGCTCCATGAGGGAAATGCAGGTGGAATCGCTGGAGCAACGAGGTGAAAAAAAGAAACATTTCCATTCGAGCCAGCTGCTCTCCAAGGCAATGTCTTCTTCCTGAATTGGAAAGAAGGTTTCAAAAAGGTTTAAAGGTATCTTCGGTCACGTTTTGCCTTTAAGGCGGATAGGAATGGTCATTTCTGTGTTCTAGGAGTGGTGTGTGAACCTGGTTGGTAGTATTTTGTAAGAAGAATAGGTAAGAACTTACACTAAGAAACTGATTTTAGAGAATTTGTTGCTCACAAATGCCATTGAAATGAATTCTGTCAAATTGATTTATATACACTTGTTATTTACTGTATCTGGTCTTGAAGTGCCAGTCTAGAGGGAAAATGCTTTAAAAATGACATTGTGAATTTTAGCCTTTTCCCCCTACTATTTTCTTAATTACATCTACTGCCAGTTATTATTAATTGGCAATTATTAGAACTTTGTAAGGAGGATTTTTATTAGTTCACATATAAAACTGAGCTCACCTATATAAAAGATGTTATGCTAAAATTTGTTATCTCCAGAGCGCATTATGTTGAATATCTTTGAATTGAATTATATTTTATATCTTTAAATCAGAACTGAGGATATCATTCTGTCCATTTATTGCCACCCCTTACACTTTACACATCTCTGGATTTGTGAAAAGGAACAGTGGAAGGAATTGCTCTTACCTAGGGAAAAAGGAATAAATGCATCTTTCTTGACAAACTGCCCATTACTGTCCAAAAACCTCTCAGGAAAAAACACTTCTGGATTGCTCCAGTATTTTTCATCAAAGTGAACAGAGTAGAGGTTGGTGATGACTGTGGTGCCTCCAGGAATGGTGTACCCACGCACAACAGTGTCTTTGGAAGTTGCATGGAAAATCCCCAGTGGGACAATGTTACAGAACCTCAGCACCTCGTGCAGAACAGCCTCAGTGTAGGGCATCTTGCCCTTCTCTTCCAAGGTGGGCATTTTGTTGGGGCCAATGACAAGATCAATTTCTTTCTGAACTTGCCCTGTTAGGAATAAAAACCGAGGTTTATTTTGTAATAGGTCTTACATTCCAATTTAAGCTGAAGTATTTGTGTACATACATACATTTTTAAAAAATACTGAAACGTGATATACCTTTATACAAAAAACAGTCACAAGCTTTTAAATTTAGACTCTATATTGCTATCCTTGGTTAGTGCTATCATCCCCATTCTGAAACAATGGTGAAATTGATACTAGAGTGATACTTTTTGGTCTAAGTACTTTATAGGTTATCCGGGCCTCTCAGCTTCCAAATCCTGGAAGCTCCAGCTGTCCCAAGCACTGCTAAGGGTTTGGCAGGAAAAGTGAAGTGGAGGCAGTGAAATCAGAAATGTGACTCTTCACTTCTGGAATCCAAACTTCTCCTCACAATGTCTGGGCTAACACTCAAACACCTATTGCTGTTTTACTTCACAATGACTGTAACACATCTTTTTATTTTTAAATGCCATTTCTGTTCTTCCAAAAGTGTAAGTATTCCTGTCTATCATATGTAACTCTGTTGTGAACTGGAGAACTTAAGATAAAAAGCATTGTACCTAAATTGTTACTACAACCTGATTTACATTTTTGCTGACACCTGTACATTTTTAATTTAGTTTATTACTTTCATATTTAATTACATTTTCTTATTATTTATTAACTACATAGATTAGTATATCTGCCAACCACAGATCATGCATCACAATGCTAAACCTAAATATAGTAGAAATACTTAAAAGTATTAAAGCTTCATAAAAGCGTATTCACAAAATAATATGTTAAAATTTTATCATAACACTTGACTTTTGATATCCTCTTTGCATTTAAAACAAGCTTTCCACCTCTGTCCATAGTATATTTAGTAAATGACAGAATAGAACAGTATTTACAAAGCTTTTTTTTGGTGATGATTATGGATCAATGTGCCACTTTGAAAAAGCATTTTAAATTTGCAGCAGGAAAGTGAATCAGTTCCTCAAAATGTCAAAATTCTTACCTTGAATGTTTGGATAAAGAGCCATAAATAACACTGCCCATCTTAAAACATTTGTTGTGGTTTCTGTCCCAGCTATGATGAGTTCTCCAACGGAGAAAATTAAATTTTCTCTTGAATATGTAGATTCTGGGTCATTTCCATTGCAATCCATCTCATCTAAATATGCATCTACGAAATGTCGAGGTGACTGAGGCTTCCTATTTTCAGAGACACGTTCAATAAGCTCATGAAGAAACTCATAGACTTCAGCTGCATTTTTGAACAGCTGCTGGTGTTTCCCAAATGGCAAGATACCAATCCAAGGAAAAGCATTATATAAAAATACAGAAGCACTAGCAGCTAATTCAATGTTTTCACTAAAAATCTCAATCATGTGCTGAAATTCAGTATCTTCGTATGTGAAACGTTCTCCAAAAATAATCAAATTAGTAATGTTTGAAACAGCATTTGTTATCAAGTGCTTAAGGTCAAGGGGTCTGCCTTTGTATGTATCAATGGCCTCAAGAAAAAACAGAGATTCTTCTGAAATTTTGTGTTCAAAGGACTTTTGACCATATCCAAAAACTCGAAAGGTATTTACAGCTAATTTGCGGTGTTCTGTCCATCCTCTGCCATATTTACTGTTCAGTAAGCCTGAAAAAATATTTTGACACAGTATTTTATGCAATGCTTTATTTTTCTTCCCCCATAAGTTAATAAAATTATTCAACAAGACAAAAAAGGAGACAAAATATTTTGGACGTCCTGCTATGGAGCATAGTCCACGAGTGACAATGATATCTTTAAAGAAGCATCAAGTATTTTATGAAAGGACATCAAGTAGGGAAAATGGCTAAAGCAGATGCTTCATGACATCTATGGGACAAAAATTATATCTTTATACAAAAGACATTAGCACTCACCTCCCATGTTTGTCAGTTTCTTGAACAAGGGAAGAGAGGGCCTGTCTGCAAAAATTTCACTTTGATGGACAAGGCATTCCTTCACTGCATCGTAGCCATTCAGCACAACAGCAGATATTCCCCCGAGGTCAAGGCTGAAGATCTTTGGGGGGGGGAAAAAAAGGAATAAAAAGTGTCAAATGCTATTACAACCCACTCTGGAACAAGGAATGAAAAAGTGAAACGACACTAAATGTCAATGTGAAATGCAGAGTTGGATAACCTTAGCAGGCCACACAGGTGGCCAGAGGTGGGACAGCTCTGGCATTACACAGGAGAGTCTGTGGTAAGCTCATTTGCTTTGTTAAAAGACAAAATTAATTAGCCCACACTGCATTCTGTGCTGCTGTGCACCTAAAGAAACCAGCCCTCCAAATTAAGGACTGGGGACACCTTCATGTAGTCCCTAGAGAGGAGTGAGAGCCAAGGTGACAGCCAATAACTGAGAGCAGAGCCCAGCTAGGCCCAGCTTCCTTTTCCTGAGTGCTTAGCACAAGGT